GACAGTTGGTCCGACACATGGTCATGGCTCCAATATTGGATAGATGCCGATGTTCCAGCGAAGAAGCGACAGACTGACAGACCGCGCTGTCTGAACATCAGGCGGAGCTTCAGCCACCACTTGAGATATCACCAGGCATCGCAGCTATCGACAAGCTCAACTCAACATAACCACGTTGGCGAAATTTGTATTGATCGGTTGGCATCGTGCAATCACCAGAGCGAGATGATTCTTATGCGCATGCCATCCACCGCCCAGCCGACGCAGATCATTCAGTCATCACCCGTCTGTGAGAATGATGCATGGCCTTCGGAGGGTATCGCAGCCGGAAAGGTTAGTCGAACCGAGGACGGCTCGGAGAACACCAGGCGCGCGCCCAGAAGGACATTGAGAGGCAATTGGCCGTATTAATAGAAATACCAAGACTACACCAGACACGAGAAGAAAGGCAGAACTCCAACGTCATCGTCAGGAGACAAATCGCAAAAGACAAAAGGGATGCGCGCAGGGCGCCCATGCATTTCCAGTTTCATCGACGACCCCGTGGTGGGCGGTCCACGGCATCCTCCTCACTCAGTGAACCACGAACCGGACGAGAAGACCCCATGGCCCGTTTGTTACCCCAGATACCGACCAAACAGCTGGCAGAGCGCAGCGGCCGGCGACGAAGATTTGGCTGGTCCTCAGACCTGACAAGTCCCGCGACGGCTCTCACAGTTGGTGGCGTCGGCAAGAGTTGACCTGATTGATAAGACGGCCGGCGGCGCATCCTGGCGGTGATCGCGACTCGTCTCCGGCCGGGCCGTGTTCGTGGTGACGACGATGAGGGCGTCAATCTCTCGGCACAACCTGCTAAGTTTGTGTTTTTCTTGGTTCCTGTGTTCATGCACGCCATCATGCCCGGTGGACAGCATAGTCTGGACGCGGCGGCATCGATGACCCGATCAAAAGGAGAATGCGGTGATGATTGTGAGAGCCGAGCGGTCCTGGTGCGACGCCGGTCGGGGCGGACAATCAAAAAAAAAGACGAGCAATGTTTCTAAACCTCCTACAGGGACCCCAACGAAAAAGTCCGTCTCCCACGCGAGCTCAATCCTCGCCTCGAGCCCTGTCTACCCCGTTCTCGCGGCGCCCAAGTGGAGATGAATGCTGTCGAGCAACAGAAAAGCCCCGACCCGGCGGCCAAAGATGGTGAAAAAGCACAGCAAAACCGCCTATTCATTCGTACGTACGGACAGCTCCAGCGCAGTTGCATCTCCCAGGTTTCAGGCGCCGTCAGGCCAAGCGCCAAGGTGCGCGTCAAACACGGCCGAGGGGGGCCTCTCTGGTGCGGCATGCGGGTGACAGCGGCATGGGTCTCGTCGACAGTTGAAACCCCAGCCCAGCCCCTGGGTGCGACTCTTCGCGGCAGAAGGGCTCCAGCCGCTGCTGGACAGTGAACACGAACGGCCGCCGGCGCAGCTGGAGGAGGCAAACTGCGCTGAATGTCCGGTTGACGGTGTTCTGTGATTGGACACATGGACGCTTCATGGCCCCCTGTCATGACCGAGGTTTACTTGCGTGCACCTGTCGCACCACACAACAGACGTGGAGGGAGACCCATCTCGATAACGCAGGAGGCAGCGAACGTTCATCACTTGGATGCCCCCCTTGTTCCCCGTTTTCTTGGAAGATGTTTGATGTGAGGCCTGCGATAGGACATGGGGGGTGTTGGAGGGGAGGGAGCTTTGGGGTTTTTTATGTCCGAGTGCCGGGGAGAAGACAGCGGGAGAAGGTAGGTCTACGCGGGTGTCCGTAGGCGACATTTGAATAATACGAAGCATCCCCCGAGGACGCCGGTGGCAATTCCCGGGAGGGTTTCTTTCTCTTCCCTTTTTCTCTTTCCTTGGCTTTCTCTGCTGGCTCTTGATTTGGTCTTTTCTGTTCAAGGGCTCGGCGGGTTCGACCAGTTCCATTCTCCATGAAGCGCTTGCGCTTGTTCTTTTCTGTTTAGACTTCCACAGCTGTGCTGTTTTCTATTCCATTCTTGATTACCGCTGGCCGCATTACCGTCTTATTTTGTTTGTTCCGTCAAAGTCTTGGTAATTTTGAGGAAGACGTGGAGGAAGAGGTTTCACGATGGAGGGCACCACGACTTGGTCGACTTTCAGGTGGGTTGAACATGGTCATCGACGACCCAAACGATGAAGCTGATGGTGTTGGGTAGACAACGGAGGAGGACGGAGCCCAAGTTCCCTGGCAGACCGCGTCACAACTTGGTCCGTCGCCAAGGGCCGAGGATAGCTATTCGACAGGACGACGGCGAGGAGGCGGACGAAGAGAAAGAAAAGGAGGGCGAGCAGGAGAAGGAAGAGGAAGAGGAAGAGGAGGAGGAGGAGGAGGAGGAAGAGAAGGAGAGCCCGGCTGGAAACAACAGGAAGGCAGAAGAAGAGGAAAAGGAAGAGGAATCCGGAGCGGAAGAGGGCAACGGTGCTCAGCAAGAGGCCGAGTCCAACAGCTCCGCAAGCGAGTCCGATGCGCAGCAACAACCGGGAGCGCAATCGAGCGCCAGCAGTGACTCGGAAGAAGAACAACCAAAGCCCTCCGTGTCACCGGCCCCGGGCGCACCGCCTGCAGCAACGAACCCGACGATCCTGCCGACTGCGCCGCCCGCCGCCCTGAACCCGGCCGTGCCGGCGAGTTTCCCCCCGGCGAGGGGATTCATCACGCTCGTCCCCGGCGCGCCGCCTCCGTCGAATCCTCCGGCCGCGCCACCATCAAATCCACCCGCTGCAACTCCGTCCGCCGCCCCGAACTCAACGCCTCCGCAACCGCCTCCGTCAAGACAGACTTCCCAGACGCCGCCTCCGCCTGCTGTGCAACCATCTACCCCACCGCCACCGCCGCCGCCACCAGCAGCAGAAACCCCATCAGCGATTCCTTCACCACCAACAGTTGGAAATGCCGCCTCGGGAACATCAGACCCGCAGATCGTGCCCTCCAATGCGCAGATGCAAGAAAGCAACGACGCCGTCTCAGCAACGCCCTCACCCGCCCCAGACTCCAACCGTCCTTTTGCCATCGGGGTCTCCTTCGGTATCGTCGGTATGTCATTCCCCCCTTTCATCACAATCTCCTCATGAGACCACTAACATATCACAGCCTTGATCGGCCTCCTCATCGGCGCCTTCATCTTCTTCAAGAAGCGCCACGACCGCAGGAAGAAGGTCGACGCCGTCTCCCAAAACATGCAAAACGCACCGCCCCCGTCCAACCCGCCCGCCGCCGCCGCCAGCTTCCCCCGCGAGTCCGCCATCCTCCGCCAGCCGAAGCGCAGCACCAAGGAGATGGAGCAGACCCTCGTCGCGACCTACCGCCAGACCAAGATCGCCAACCGCACCACCCGCGAGATGGAGGAGCAGATGGTCGCGCAGTTCATGGCCGCCAACGCCGCAATCCCGGCCCCGCCCGCAAAGGACAACACTCCCAATAAACCCGCCGCCGTGCCGAGGAACCTGTCGACGACGAGCTTCTACTACGAAAAGTCAATCAACGAGCCCGCCACCGCCAACAACGAGCCGCCCTTCGTCCCGGCGCCGCTGCGCATCAGCACGATAAAGCGCCCGTCCTCGCAGGCGGTGCAGTACCCCAAGGTGCCGTACCCGCCGTCCACGTACGATATGTACCAGGGCATCGGCCAGGGACCGTACCGCGAGTCGATCAACATCGGGTACCAGCCGTATAACCCGGACACCTACCAACCGCCACCGCCGGCTCAGCAACCAGTGCAGCCGCAGCCTCAATTCCAGCCGCAAGAATCTCAATTCCAGCCGGAGGAGTCGCAGTTCCAGCCCCAGCAACAGCCGCAGTACCCGGCCCAAGCCATCTCGCGATACTCGCCGCAGTATAACCCGCTACCGGGACAGCTGCCGCGGGCTGAGAGGGGTCCTGATAGGAAGTTCATTGGCCCTGGATGAAGCTGAATCTTTTGTTTTGTTTTCCTTGCTTTTATTACATCCAACGCGAATAATACCCACAGTCCTTACAGCGTGCACACATCAGAAACACGGCGACATTTTTTAAGCTCGTGCCGGGATGGCCCCGTCCAAGGATCGGATGATGGGTCGCCCGAACAATGCGTCAAGCATAAAACCTTCAATTAGAGATGGCATTTTACCTGTCAAACCCAACCAACAATCCTTCCTGTTTCCTTTTGCTTATCAGATTCATCATACCGGACGGGAGTGGGAGGGAGGTCAAAGGAGGGCGGATAGGATACCATTGTACAATACTCAAATTATCACGGCTAATGATGAACGCTCGCAAATTGCAAGACACAAGCACACTCCCGACCACCCAGATGACATCATTTACGTAATTACCTCGCTGTCAGAAAACCTGTCACTTTTTGTTTCTTTCTTTATCTTCCGATGAGGTGGGCGGGCTTTGGGTCCCGTTCTGTGGGTTTGAGGGATTTGCGCGTGCTGAAACGGACGAAGTGTCTGACCCCTGCATCACCGACCAAAAATAGTCGCTCGTGTAAACATTCCCCTTCACGGGTTGGGATGAATGTTTAGAAGGAGGAGGCGAGTGGGCATTGGTGATCGACGCGTGTAAAAGGAAAGTCGTGACGGATTCTGGGTGTAGCGAATCTGTGGATGATGCTGGTGTCTGGCTGGGGATGCGTGATGTCCACGATGGGAACGGTACGATGGGAGGTCGGAATGGGTGTGCATGAGTGAGGTGACGAGACGGTAAGTGAGTGGGAATAGGTGTGACTGGTGTAAGTTACTGGTAGAATCTTAATGGCACGGACATGTCTTGTAGCGCACTTTGTGATCATCAAGATATTCAAGTGGTTGAATTATTTATTTGTGCTGCTCGTGACTCTCATCATCGGCGTGTCCATGTCCCTTCGTAAACTATTCAATCTTCCGAGAAATCTGAAGAACATCGGACTTCTCACATTCGTCTTGCATTCGTCTTGCATTCGTCTTTCGCTTGTAGGAGTGAAAAGCTTCTCACTTCTGCCCCTCAATGCGATCTTCCGATACCAAGCCTCCCCTCAGAGACTTCCCCTTAGTCTCCTCAATCATGTCCATGAGCATAACGGGCAACTTCTTGATTCCTTCGCTCTCACCTTCCAATAATGTTTCGCTCGTCTTAAGGAAATCCTCTCTGAAATCAGCCCAAAGCCTCTGATCAGAGGGGCTGTTGCTGCCAGGCCTCGGGTAATACTGATCATTCCTCCAAAAACTCTTACAAGCCGTCTTGATCCCATCCTCATCCATAGTCATCTCACGACAGCAGTCGAAATCCAGCACCCACATCGCATGCGGTCCCAGCACTGCGGACTCGAAATCCTTCTCCCGAATGCACGGCAGCTTTGTTGAGTTTTGTCGCTCCGGCGCTGCCCCAGGACGAACTCCACGTCATTCCCGTCGACCTTGGCCGTCCAGTGCATAAACGCGAGCGCATCAGCCATGCCACGCGCGCACCCCTCAACATTGAGCTCGAGGTCCTCCATCTGGTCGACGCAGAGCGGGAAGTTCCTCAAACTAAACGGGCGCAGCTTCTTCAAGTGCGCAGGCCTCGCGCCTTCCTCCACTCGGTTGTTCTTCCTCTTGCCCAGGTATGCTCTGATCAGGCAGTGCGTGTTCATGTGCCCTTGCGCAACCTTCTGCGGGTCATCGCAGGCCGTCAGCTGCTCGAGCAGGAGCTTCCGTACACGGAAGGGGAAGAGATGGATTTTCTCGCTGACGAGGACGTTGCAAGCTGCGTAACCTGCGGGCAGCCTGGGCAGGATCTGGGACCAGGCTGAGATGTTGGTGTGGTGGAGGAGGCCGTGAGAGAGGGGATGTTGACGCGGAAGGTGGTGAAGCCACGAGGGGGTGTGCGAGGGCTTGGAGGATGTGGTGGTGTATTTCGGCCTCGTGGGTGATGGAGCGCACGTCGGACATGTCTTCGCGCTTAATGACGAGGGGCGTGTTGGCGCTGAATGGAGAGGATTTGGAGGAGGCGCACCAGACAGAACCGCATGCGCCTTCCCGATATGTTGGAAAGGCCCCGCGGAGCGGTTGGTGAACTGAGTGATCTTGTCCGGTTGAACAGCGGCCATTTTGAAATATCGGTCGTTATGATTGTCGGCTGTCGACACTGGTAGTTTTGGTTATTACTGGCAGCCGTGCGCAGATGCAACATATGTCTATGCAGTAAATGTAAATGGTGTAGATGTAAATGGTGTAGGTGTAAATGGTGTAGGTGTAAATGGTGTAGATGTGTATATTGAAGTTATTTGGGTTGTAGTTGTGTGATGCGATATGGGGAATACAATCAACCAAGGTACGCTTAGATTATCGAAGTTGATGGCCTAGTTATAGCTCAACTGAGCCTAAATCTGATCACCCTGTTAGGTTTGAAGCTGCACCTTCAAGTTGCTCAAACAGTCATCGAGTTGAGGTTTTCTACGCAGAGCTACACAGGTCTACTATTCAAGTTCTCAAGTCTGTTCGCCTATCTGCAATATTTTGTCTGAATCTTTCTACCTTACTGATCCAACATGTGACCTTCAAGAACATGACAAAAGGTGGATGGCTTTCTGCAAAACTTTGAGAGAATGCCAACAACCGCCGACAGCAACCACTTTGGAGTCGCACGCCGGCTATCACAAATACGGAAGGTTGGCCCACCAAGTGTCGCCAGTGAAGTTCCGTAGGCGTTTTCAACCTGTAGCTCCATTCTTTTCCAATGGACTCTCTCACTCATAACCAGAACGTGCAGGCTGGAGACTCGCCTCTTACCTCATACAGTCAGGTGCCGAGTGAAACATCCAAAGATCTAACTAACATCAAGCGAAACGCAGATCAAAGACGCGTACTAATCGGGCAGCGGCACAGCCGATTGTGGATGTGAAGCTGCGCGTCCATGAGTTGCTACTTGTTTTTAAAGTGCTGCCTGTGTTTAGCTTAAGTATGTACGTGTTGGTTCAATGGCATGCACCAAGCAATCATTCCTGTTGGAGATCTTAAAAGGTCTAGCCCGGTGGGAGACCGGATGCCACACAGTATCTTTGCCAACCCGGCTAAAGAAATATCTCTGTGGAATAACTTTCTACCTGCGAACCGGTCTAGCTTCCACTTTCCGTGATCTTTTACAATAGGGTCGTTGGTGTTGTCATTACAAGACAGCTGCTCCGATGGCTGTTGGCTATTGGTGCTGACCCCGGACTTTATGCTTACATCCGACACTGGCTGACCGCAGGTCACTGCATAGGGTATCTGTTGATCGACCCGCCGCCAAGACGGCCTAGTCCCGCGAGGGCTCCTTCGAGGTCAATTACTCATTACTCCCGTCGAACCGAAATCGTAGGAAACGTCTCCCTTGATGTGGTTATCCTGGATGCCTAGAAACTCAAAGCTCGACTGCTCCAGATGCAATTTCTACCCGCAGCAGCTTGCGCAGGGTGGCTATCTACAAATACAACAGTCTCTTTCGCTTCTCTGGGCTGATAGTCACTATCTTTAATAAGCAAACGACCGTGATCTATCAAGACGCTCAGTGCTGTCCATACTGGCCACCATGCAGCCCTCTTCACTGGTATGTTGCCCGCCCGCACCCTCGGCTTCACTTACAAACCATGTGCACAAATGATACTGACGCATTTGTCAGCTCCTTTTTGCTGCCCACGCAATCTCAGTCTTCGCTGCCGGCGTCGACCGTCCAGCTACGGCCGATGAAATCTGGACTGTCCTCGGAGAGCTGAACCGAGAAGCCCAATTCAGCCCCATCATCGCCCGCTCCAACTTTGGTGCCCGCGCATGCACCTACGGCGGATGGAACGAGTGCGTCAAAGCAGAAGGCTGGTCCTGCGTGATGGATTGCGCTTCTGAGACCCAGAGGTCATATGGGTGTATATCGAAATGTTCCGAGAGACCACTCGAGGTTTGCCCGAAACTAGGCTGTTAAACATGAATGGGACGGAGTGTTGTTTGCATCAGTGATGATCCTAGGATGGTTCATGACCTGAGGCGGCTCGCATACTATGATGCCAAAGAATGAATGAGATCGATTTCATCGCGCTGGAAGTTGTATGATGTCACATCCCCCAACGTTGTGATGCTGCAAAAGGCATCATTGATAGTGCTAGATAGACATTGATCCTAATCCAAGAAATGGTTCAAACTTCCGTCCGCGTCTGGCCGACTGACTGTGAAGGATATCGTCTCTTCAATTTTGTATTCGATTGGGCCGGACCTGCCAGTCTCCTCAGACTGCTCCATTCGACCGCTTAAGAAGTCGTCTTTAGTCCCGTTCCAGTAGTGTCCAATGCTTGCTCTGTCGCTGATGCCAACCTCATAGGTTTCGCCATCCTTGAACTCTCTCACATCTCGCCACGTCACGATATGCGGCCGATTTCTGCATTGCTCCTCCGTCTCACCTGTCCATTGGGGCGGCGGCCAGTACTGAGGTCCCAAAGTGCCTTCGAGCTTCGGCTCCAAGACATGCGGTTTTCCAGGGTACAGTGTTGTCCAGCCTCCTTTGTTCTTTTCAGTTATTTTCCCATCGTCGGGTTCGGTAAGAATGCAGATCCAGCTCCTCGGCACAAGTTGGCCAGTCGACGTGTCTCTGAAGGTCAAGCCATTGTCACGGAAGACGGTCGAAGCGTCGAATATGCCACCTGATCGCCATGTGATGGGCTGAGAATGATGTAAGGTAAGTTCGATGAAAAAGATCAGAGGGATTCCTTCAGTCATATTCAGCTGATGAGAAGATGCTGAGATGCGAACCGAGATTTGTGGTCTTGGTTGAGTCCAGATTGAACGGTAGAGAGATGTAATAGAATTTCCCATGATCACGAAAAGCTTTTCATCAACTTTGAAAGGTGGTTTTGGGTTATTTCATATTTCAACAGCAATGAGGGATAGGCAGGAAAGTTTCAAGTATTTCAGCTGGGATTAAAATGCCAGGCACAATCCAGCGACAGTCGTTTTGTTTCAGTATCAAGACCCCAAGACTTTTAGTCGTTTTTAGAAGGGGACACATACTTCACGCCGCACCTCACGCTTCTGCCTATTGCATCGGTCATCGACGGCCTTAGCTGACGCGTTTGCTACGTCACAGAATCATAGCCCTAACGGTTGGCTACATCAAACGTTCTGTTGGTCGCATCCAACATAAATAGCAAACAAATCAACTTGATTGCTCTCGAAGCGTCAATACTGCAGACCCCACCTTGAGCACTCCAATCTGCTCCTGCAGACGGCAATGCATTGTCGCCACGTGCTGTTGGTCCTCGGATCAATTTATGTCGATTCGGATATCAAAATGATCATCAATGTAGACGCCAGTTATCTCTTGGGGCTATCCTTGGCTAGGCATTGATGACCAACAAAGACCCCAAGTTGGTGCAGCAATCTTTCGGGGGCCGCTGCAGGATTCAGCCAAAGAAAAGCCCGCAAGAAGAATCAGATCACAGAAACAGTATACCACACGGGATTTTCATGCAACCCTTGCGCGATAACTTGCGTCACTAGGTTCAAGGAATCATATCAAAGGTTCAGCTCATCAATATGGTCCTCTTGGCTCAATTGGGGGATTTTCAACCAACGGGCGACTAATACATTAATCGTACGAGTGTCAAGGCAGATTAAAGCCCAAACGGTGAAACATTGTATCATTGAGGCGAATGGTGGCAGGAAATAGGAGTCTGCCTTTGCGAGAGATGCGATCGAGGGCCCTTTACTTGTGGGGGTTATTGGGAAACACAAGTTCATCCAACCGCCGTCTATTCAAGACAGCCAACAGCAGGAAAATTCGCCTTTTCTAGCCCAGATTCGATCACGATCTTCACACGACGCGGTCTCAGAATGTCCAGAGGTCAGCACCAACAATGATCGGCATAACTGCGGTCACTGGACAGCCGAGAGCCTGGCCTTTGGGGCCAAAGGCGTATCATTTATGCTTTCTTGGTGATTGATGAAAATGCCTCAAGCCAGATGATACTGTGTTCTCAGAATCCTTCACATTTATGAATTGCGACCAACGAGCCCCCAAACTGTGGTGTAATAGCACTTCCTTTGAGGTTGAGGGTGATGAAAATGTCCATCACAACGCGACTCACTGCTTTGGAAAGCACGAATACCCAAAATAACATAAATGCCTGCAGATTCAAGATTATGAGATGCCGTGTTTTCCATTTATGTCGATAGTCCCTACAAGCTCCAGAATTACAGCAAAATAACCCAGATCTACTTCATCATTATTCAACCGCCCAGCCGCCATTTCCGTCTCTCTTGTAAATCACATTAGGTCCGGACTCAACACGCTTCCGTCAACATGATTGCCCGAGTCGCCTCTCTTCTCTGTACTTTAACCCTGACGACCTTCTTGGAGTCAGCCGTTGCAATGCCTGCTGCGAACATGACTTTCAATGTCGTGTAAGTAAACAATAGTGCATAAGAATGCGCCGATGACTCATTCATCCTCCTTTTCTTTTGTCCATTGCCTGAGCCTGAAATTGTGTGGCTGACTTTGCGGAATTCAAAAAGTGAAAAACGAGGCATTCCGGTACCATACTTCGACAAAAACTTACCTCATGCTGATGAACGTCACGAGAGGTTAACTGCATGGCCGCAGGTCATTGTTCTGGCCAAATTTGTTGATCAAAAACCTGACCCCGAGAAGTGGAATCGAGCATTCGCAAACTATTTCGACTTACAAGATCGTGACTATGTGGAGAGAGTCTTTCGACTGATTATTGGAGCCGATGAGGACGGTCTGGGGAACGAAGTGTTTGGGAAGGTGTTTCTTTACAACCAACCTAATCTCAAGAACAATGACCGCGAGAGCTCCGAAGGTATTGATATAGCCTGGATCCGCCATGTGGAGTCACAGGGCACTTGGGCGATGAAGATCTGTGACAAAGGGCGGGAGTACCCTCTTCTCGGCGACCTCGATTGCGATGATCTTGGGGACAGGGTGAGCGGCAAAATGGCTTCTTTTCCCGGCCTAATCTTGCACGAATTAATGTGAGTATCTTGCCTCCAGCTACAAACCTCCTTTGAGACCCATTACTAATCACTTCTCACAGGCACATGGACCCGATCGGAAGAGAGGGCACAGGGCTTCACGTCCGGGACTACAGCAGCGAGCAAAACGGGTTCGACGGCTATGGACCCCTTCAGACCAGGAAGCTGAAGGACAACAAGAATATTGTGACCAGAACGAACGCGGATCAATTCAGGTGGTTTGCGCAAGAATATTACCACAGCGTGGTCTGCAACAAAAACTTCGGTCCTCCTCGCAACAACAACGCTTCACCCTTGTAGCTGAGAGCCTACCTTTCATGATTCCCAGATCCTAGGGGAGGAATTTGGACATGTCAACGGCGGTAGGAATCAAGTGATGTTTTGGCAGATTATTTCGCTTGTTTGCGGTACGTTGGCAATAACACGGAAAGCATGGTGTTTCACAGCTGAGGCCAAGGGACTTTGGATGTCGCTCGTTTTAGGTAACTAACTAATGCCATTCGTTATTCACAAGAAATTTTTTCGCATGGATGTATCTAAAGGAGAAGAACTAATGATGAATTCCAAACTAAACTACACCTGACGGCAATTGGCATGGCCTGTCATTATTCTTCGGTTAGCGCAATTGGCCAATTAACATCAAATTCGTTTGCTATTCCCTTGAGGAACTTCCAAAGTATGTCTCCTTGCAGTTCCAAAGAACACAGTGGCCAGTGGAGAGGCAGCGAGCAAAGCAGGGCATATCACATCGGTATATTAGTCTCACAGCCAACGCGAAATCACCTGACTATCTTCTACAAGTGTTAATCATCCGGACTGAAGACATTAATCAGCGAATCCCGTGGCGGACTCAATTGAACATAACAAATTAGCGGTGATGTTGCTTTTCTCAGCGGATGTATAATATGGTCACGGCGTCATTTCGACCGATTGGGAAATTAGATGCCGAGGGAGGAGTCTGGACGAACTCCACTACATCTCCAGGCACAACTCTCTCCGCAATGGCTTCCAGAAGTCGGCAGAAGGGTTTAGGCTTTCGGGATCACTCGTCGCCGACTGTACGAGGCCCGACCGGAACGTCCCCTGACGCACACCGACCAGTCGTCTCCAATCGTTGAGTATAAAAGCGGAAGGTTTCCAGATTAATAGAGCATTGCTTTGATAGTCAAGCAAGCAAATCAAACCAATCAGTTACCTCAATTAACCCCTGAACCCCAAAATGGCAACCTTTATTAAAGCTGTCCCTTCCACGATCCTCATTTTCGGGGCTTCTGGGCACATCGGAGGACCTCTCGCACAGTTCTTAGCCCGCGAAGCGCCCACGACTAAACTGCGTCTGGCCACCAGCAACGACTCGAAGAAAGCGCAACTTCAGTCTTCCTTCCCAGACGCCGAGGTTGTTGTTGCCAACTATGCCGAAGCTGCATCTCTGTCAGCTGCTGCGGCCGGTGCGGAGGGAGTCTTCGTGATAACGCCTCCGGGACTTCACGAAGAAAAGCCCATGAAGGACTTGGTCTCTGCGCTGAAGCAAGCGGGCAGTGCAACTCACATAATCCGCTTCATGGGCGTGTTCCCGGAATTCCCTTCGTCTAAAATCCCCCCTGAGCTTGGTCCCGGCTCCCTACCCGTCGAGCACCGGATAGCGCAGAAGATCTTCGACGACAGCGGGCTTCCCGTTACGTATGTCAATTGCGGAGCCACTTTTATGGACAACCTTGCAGTCCAGATGCGAGCCGTCTTAGCGAAGAAGACACTCATCTGGCCGGAGCATCGTGTGCCGTGGATGGACCCGAGGGACATTGCCGAGGTTGTTGGGAGACTGTTCCTGTCCGCGAATGCTAAGCACATTGGGGCCTTTCACACCATGAACAACGGACACGACTTGATGACTTTCAAGGAGCTGTCAATTATCATGTCAGAAATCTTTGACGAGCCTATTGGGTACGACGGAAGCCAAGAAGCGTTTGCTGGCTTTTACGGCAAAGTTATGGGTCCTCATTTGTCGCAAGTCCTGTGGAATTTCTTCAAATTTGAAGAGGCGCACGAGGAGGTCTGGGCCCTGAACAATTTCGTTGAGAGAACGATTGGAAGGAAGCCTGTGACTGTGAGACAGTGGCTTTTGGAACACAAAGATGATCTCAAGCGTGGGGAGGGAGATCTCGGATGGGCTGCGCGGGGATGACAACCAAAACCCTCAAAAATCTAGGCTGAGAACTTTTCTCAAATATTCCCAAGTGCAACATAGGTGCAACTTTGAAATTCGATCTGTGTCGGAATCATGGCTTTGAAGTTTAAAATACTGATTGTTGGTGATTTTTGACCACTTTCCTCCGGGCCTGCTAACCCACCGAAAACGGGAATCCTCCGCGAGCGAGCCCTTCCGAGCCCCGGACCGGCTCCGCGAGCTGCACCGCCCCGTGTTCCGTGCCATGTCTCGGACAGGTGCGGGTCACATCCGGTCTGGGAGTGCCACCAGGCGTCCCGCCAACATCTTCGCCGGTCACTCCGCTGTCTGAGACTGCTCACTGCCTCTCAAGTGAGACACAATGAGGTGTCATGTCTCACTTCTTGTGAACAACTGCGTACTGTGGTGCTTTTCTTGGCAGGGCAAACCTCTGCAACGGCCAAGACATTCGTGTCTTCCACGCGGGGAAAACAAGTAGGAACATGTCTGCCATTGTATTATCCAGGGGCAGAAGAAATTTTCACGGCAAGTGGGAAGGGGAAAAAAACATGGCTCCCGTCGTCTTCTTTCAAGATGTCTTGCCGAAAAGCTGGCCCTGAGCTTTTGGGACTGCTTTCGGCCGCTTGACGAATGCGGCCGTGGGCCACAGCTCCCGAATCGGCGAGACGGACAGAACCCCTCTCATCGTCTAAGAGCTTAGAGCCCTCGGTAAAGAGTGACAGCAGAGCTATGGCTTTGGTTCGGTGGCGCTAAGGGTCCGATGGACCCGTTGATGACGTGAGGTTCTCAGGCCGGGGACACGGATTCAAGTGCCGTTGACCGCAAACGTACACGCACACTCAGCCACGTTTCTGGGGCTACGAGTCCAGCCTCACGTCCCTTCAGCAAAGTGATCAAGCTAACGTCCAGGAACAAACCAGATCCTCTAAAGATCATTGGTTGTCTATTCTCCACAGGCCGTTGACTACAGAACCGAGCTCTTGGGAAAGGCCGCTTTTGGTGTTAGACTGAGCGCTTGGTCGTCCGCCAAAAGCTCGCCTACCATCAATCAGCAATTGCCCATCGAGAGTGTAAGTTCTGCGTTCAGATACCCTACCTACCGTGGTCTCGGCCGAGATTGTGACTTGATCCTTAGACGATGAGGCTATCCCAATTCAAGACGTGACCCCGAGAATCCGGCATGCACTTATTTCATGCTTGGGCTTCGGTTCCATAGCCATGGGCCCAGCCACTAGCCACTGCCGCGTACACATGGTAGATCTGGCCGGCGCGCCTTCACGGAGGCTTCCGCAAGCTCGCTTTCTCAAGATGGTCGATGAAAATGTCAACAAGAAGAGTGCGAATGTTGGATGTTATAAGTAACGTCTTCCATTTCTCGGAATGAGATATAACGGCACTTCAAGCAGCAACGATCTTCATCACAGACAACCACTCAAAGATCAGACAACATCAACTCCAGACACTCAGTCAAGATGCGCTTCTCAGTCTTCACCGTTCTCCTTGCCGGCGCTGCCGCTCAACGCTCCACGAAGCCTACGGCTGCCAATGGAGTCTACACCATTGACGGCGCGACCTACAAGAACAGGGCCTACTTCGACTTCAGTGCTCTGAAGGACAACACCTCAGTTCCCAAGGGTCTCATTGTCAGTGGCTACAAGGTCGCCAACACTCACAAGTACGACACGACCAACACCTACATCCAGGGTGGCTACCTCAACTTGAGAGTCAACGGCGGTCAGAAAGTGAAGCCCTACAAGTGCGCCGAAGTCGTCACCTCGGTCCAGAACATCAAGTACGCTTCTGTCCGAACTGTTGGTGTCCTTGCTGAGGCCCCTGGAGTTTGCAATGGTAAGTCTCTTCAGTTTTCTCTCACTATACAACATGGTAGACTAACATAACGCGCAGGAATGTTCTTCTACAAGAACGACAACCAGGAGAGCGACATTGAGTGGCTCTCCGACTCCGCAACCCAGAGCAACACCGGCCGCGGCTCTACCCGCAAGATCTGGTTCGCCAACCAGGACAACGACGGCGATGGCCAGAAGACCTGGACCGCAGTCGGAGCCCCGGCCAACCCCACCACCACCGAGCACGAGTACCGCATCGACTGGGTCGCCGCTGCCGGTGGACAGCCCGCCATGGTCAAGTTCTTCATTGACGGTGTCGAGTCCTGGCGCACCAGCAAGGATGTCCCCACCGTTGCCGGACCTTGGGTCTTCAACAACTGGGCCAACGGCGACAAGGGCTGGAGCTGTGGACCCCCTGCCGTCGACGCCATCTTCAAGATCAAGGAGATCGACATCTACTACAACACCGCCTAAGAAGTTTGCAAACGCATCTTCAGACCACGAGTGTCGAGAGACTGCAAATATTGGTGACGATTCACGCAACATAATTCAACGCCAAAGCATACGAACCACCTAATGTCGATAACAAAAATCTAATGACATAATAATGAAGAGAAGGACATAATATGTATGAAAACAATCGTTGATTGGAGGAGATAATAATTGGAACCCAACATAATAATCTTAATGTATCACGAAAGGCCTTCGGGCATGGCACATACTTTTGCCACAATCATAATCACGGCCCGGCAACTCTTACCGGTTTTACATATCAATAATTGTCTTTCCATGCTAAACGTGAATATCATCAATTGTGTAACAAAACCTCACCAGCTCGAGATTAAATCTCTTGTTTCACCCGTCTTATTTCCTCCAAAAAGAAAAAATTCAAATCTTGTAGCTTGTTCATGAGAAATGTCCAGTCACAAAGCACGCGCGTATGCCACACGACCTTCAACTGACTTTAGCGCAGAGACCAGTGTTTGGATCGGATCTGAAGTGATGAGATTATCAGTATACGCAAATGCATGGCCATTCAAATGCCGCGCATCAGGCAAGGAATTATGGTTACTCACGTAAAGCTCCATTCGTCGGTGACCTTTGAGCCTCCTAAATCGCAGCCAATCTCATCATTGAGTCTCTGGATGCATTGATCCACCTCGAGGACCGATTCATCTTGGCCAAGCCATTGCACTGTGATATCCAGTCTTTTTCTACGCAAGTTAAGCGACCCATTGGAAACAAAATGCCCAAAACAAAAAAAAAAAAAACCTTAAGAAACAAAACTTACCCAATTGTCTGTCCTTCTAGCAAAAGGTTGCTGCATCGGCCCTTGCTATCTCCAGAGTGGCTGTGACAGAGTTAGCGCGCCAATCTGAAGATGAACAAAGGATCACTCCTCTACGTACAACACGCCGGTCAGTCGAGCCGAATCGGAGGCATCACGGCACCAGTATTCAACGGCACCACGAGCGGAGTCCTGGGCGTTGTCCCAGTTTATGCCTGACCAGAAGCATGTGGCGTATGCCCCATGCGACAAGGTTGTGAATAGGATGAGGTGATTTTGAAGACGCATTGGAAGGCAGAAGCAGCGAAGCTGAGTATGATTAAATTGAGATTGACTGTGTTTGAATTGACAGATATTGAGACGATCAATACACCTTTTTATACCTGATTCTCAGTTTGCAGTACACTCCCATTGTTGCCCGAATTGGTCACCGTTTTTGTACTCGCTCTGTGTTCAACTACGCTGTGTAGCTGTCCATGAGAAATCGAGGCCATTCGAATCACAAAACGGTCTTAGCGAGAAGTGTCATACGGAGCATGCAATGTCTGACTTTATGCGCAACCCATGAGTTCTAGAGCAACTATCACTCGTCGACAGTGGCGTGCCGTTTCGCGGTCTATGGTGTTCAAGCCTCTTGGAGGCAGTGTGGCAAGCTCACAAATGCGTTCGGTGTGGAATACAAGATTGCGTGTTTGAACTGACGCGTAATTGTTAGCTTCTCTGGCCAAGTTTCTCTCCATTTTGTCTTCTGATTCCTTACTTCATAAATATTGTTTTCCCGCTTCCGACTGACGCACCGGATCGTGATAGTAACCCCAAAAGAATGACCGACCCGAAGTTTAGTCTGCGATCCGAAAAGCCTCATATGCCCCAAGAGAAGTCGTGCAATATCCCCTCCGGATTGTTGACATGATGAAACATCAGGGGACTTCTGCCTACATGCATTTGTAGATTCGGCGGCCGCCTCCGTATGATGATCCATCGCTGGTAGGCTCGCTGTCGCTTTTAATCTTCTCAACGCTCTGGGAAGACTCTTTTGCGTGGCATGGGCAGTTGATGGAGACTGTGATAGGAAACAAGTCCCTGAATAAAGCGATGGCAGTGTTCGTGATAAAATAGCATACGCCGTATAGTAGAAGAAGAAGAAGAAACAAGAAGAAGAGGAAGCATAAAAAGAAGAATATCCACATGAGGAAGCCTCCAAGTACGACAGCGTCCTCCTCTATGTCTTTATGCCACTTCCACATAAGCTGTTTAGTTGCGCATGAGAAGAGCATGTTGGTTTTGAGAGGAAATTGTCGTTCCCGATAGTTAGTCAAGTCGGAGTTGAAAATGGTTAGAGATGTTGTGTTGGCAAACCTCTGCGATGAGACTTGTATTATGCACGAAGGTGTGTGCCTTTTGCGACGGTGCTATCAAGGAGTCTCCATTTGTTTGGGACTCAGCCCTAACGTGTTGCTGCCTCAGTAAATGGTGTTATACTATCAAGGTGTTTTTCTGGATCGCATATTCAAACGATAGGAAACCCGAAAGGTAAGCCCCATTTCCTACGCAGAAAAAGTAGGAAAGTCTCCGATCTAGTGCGAGTTGACAATAGTTCATCAAGGAGTCGATTGTTTCCAGTAGAAGAAGGGTCTATATCGTGACCCTGGCTTTCGTTAGGGGATCAAGGATGTCGGCGTTCCTGTACCAGGCTTCTCCGAGTTCTAGATACTCAAATCATTAGATTTTTAGCCCTTTTCAATGCTTCAGTGGGCTGTGAAGGATCATCAGTACGGTTCATCCAACTGGATGGCCTAACCCAGCAGCCTTCGCAGGATTTCAGCAAGCGTACCTACTAACCATCAGGTCTTTGCGTCTACTTAATGAACTTCATCAGATGGTTCATCAATGGTCAAGATAAGACACACGGAAGGCCGGTGTCCGAGATTTGATGTGCATGCTGCCTGGTAGTGATGAAAACAACAGGAACCCTTGAGTTTTTGCACACGACTTCAACTGTTTATCACTGCACGAAGCCAGCGGTTGTTAGATGTTTTCTGCTCCACTATGCTTGAATTCAGGTTGATACAAATCTCACTTCGTGAGTCTAACTACGTGATACCTCAACATAAATCCTAAAACGCACTTCAAGCATGCAAAGTTATCTCTCCAAGGGCCACTCTGAGTGTTCAACAATCCCCCGCGTTCTCCATCTGACGTCGTCGCGTTCCGTTATTTGGTGTCGGATTTCTTACTCCATCCCGACCCCCTCTTCTGTATTATCGCCATGTCAATATGTTTTCTAAAGATCATCATGAATTGATCACCGGCTGGGTGCAAACACCACATCTCGCACCGAGATGGTTGCCACATCTCACACAGGTTGACCACTATTGGTAGCGACGTCAGGAACAGCCGCGGTTGCCTCCGCGTCCTCCTCCTTTGCTTTCCTTTCGTTCATCTCGCTTGAAAGATATCGAAAGCCCTTGATGAGACCAAACGTCCCGTAGAACCCAACGTAAAAGAGAGCGCTGAGGACCAGGTTGACGACTAGGATGACAATGAAGGCCAAGGCTGTGCAGAACATGCAGTGCGATACGATCCCCGGCTCGTCCATGGCGTTCTAGCCGCACTCAGTAATCTTTCCGAAAACTTGGAGCGCTTCTGCTAGTTTGGCAGGAGTGGCAGCGTTGGTCGAAGCTTGTTTGCAGAGACTCGATCCTGGAGACGTTATTTTGGAAACGGCATGTATCTGCCGTATCCGAGAAGCGAAAGCGACGTGTAAGTGAAGGGTTGTGGGCGCTAATAACAATCCACGGATCGGGTCGAGTGGGTTTAGTCTAGCAGAGGGAGCTGAAAGCCGTTGATCGCCGATGTGTTCATCTGCCGTAGCTCAGTCCTCGGCGCTGGCGCAGTGGGGGGCTAGGTCTCGCCGTTGTCCCACCGGTATGGACGCAGAACGGGCCGTAGGAGTCCGCCCGACAGACTGAGTCCAGCTAGCTACCGGCAGTTGTAAAGATGTTGGCTAGGCGTTCGAGACGTTCTCTTGCTAGAACGTAGAGGCGTCTGATACGGCATTCAACATTTGCTTGAGTTCGTCATGACATGCGGTCTGGCCGGCAAGTAAGCTGCTTTCGACAGGATCGATGATGGCGGCCATTATCTTTGGTTCTTCCTTTGGTTCTTCTTGGGAAAGCAGCTTGACACTCAGCCACATAAGATCTACAAGGTACTCATTGACTGAACCTGCATGGATACAGCGCCCTTTCGATGACCAGCCTCCGGCTGTACTACTATGGGCAGAAATATGACAGCCCACAGAATATTAGCGGCTTCCGGTAAGGTTCACGTCACCCGGGTTGAGAAAACTCCGTCAGTTTCGATGATCGCAACCACCAGGCGAAGGATTCTGTTACGGAAATGCGGCAATGATCATAATGGAATTCATTGACCCAAGCCCACTAAGTCGCAGGATGGAATTTCTCCTTCCATGAGCGATTTACAAGAACCCGGGAAGGGCAAAATGGCGGGAGCATAGTTCAGCTCCCATGATGACAGTATCCTCATCCACACCTCTGGGCCCGACCGCGACGCAAAGAGGCAGCCCTTCGAGCCCATCTCATGATTTCTGCTTTCGGCGCAATGCTTTCAAGTGTTTTAAACCAAGGCCGTCATCGTTGAGTAAGTTTGTGGTTTGTCGATGACGAAACGAAAGTCCCTAATCGCGAGGCACTTTCTGAAGTTCCACCTTTGTCAATGTTGCTCTTCCGTCTTGTACAGTCCATTTTCCGCTCCACCTCTTGGCATAGAATGCGATCCCAATCTGATATGGGTCTCAACTTTCGTAGCCCGGTAGACTTTGTCTGTGCCGTCTCCTGCTGCTTCTTCTTCAATATGTTCTTCTTGGGGCCGTCTTTATTTTGAGTGTCGTCGTCGTTCTCCTGAGCAGCGTCGTCCTTCTTTTGAACGTCATCCTGCTCCACGGCACTTTCCTGTTTTTCGGTGCCTTTCTCCTTCATCATTTCTTTCGTCTGTGCTTGGATCTGTTCTGGCGAGGCGACCTTGTTGACCTTCTCGCTCGTCGTATCCGCCGCGCCGAACAATATGACGCCCGCGACGAACAGGCCTCCGACGACCAAGCTGAGGGCGATGATGGCAGCGCCCAAGGCGACGAAGAATATTGCGGCAGTCGCGAAGAAGGCTACTTCGAAACATACATCTCCTTTTCTGTTGAGCCAGCGGGCGAGTTGCCCGTTATTGCTTGGTGTTGTGATCGTCATTTTGCGGTCTGTATGTGTTTGACTGTCTTGTCGAGAGGTTCCGAAGGTTTGGATGGCAGTGGATGAGAATAGCCTTGATAGAACGAGCCCTCTGGCAGGGTGCTCGCAAAGGTGGGCGATGCTTTGTATAAAGAGGGTCACGCGGCGAAATAAAAGTCCAGATTGAGCACAGAACCCTGATGAAATCTAGGAAAAGTTTGATGTTTTGCAAGGTTCGATATGGCTTCGTTCGGAGAAAGAGGCGGTCACCATTTTAATAGTTATTGGCCTCGTCGAGAAGCGGGCTTGAGCCTCCTCATCATCGATTACATTTCCCAACATAGACGCAAACATGGACGTGCTCGCAACCTTGATGCTGCCCCGCCGCGTCACCAACGACGCCAACCTCATCAACAGCCTCGTTAACAGCCTCGTCAGCGAGGCGCCACTCGAATCGGCGCCCCCCTTTGAAGCAGCTCTGCGGGTAATTCGATCCAATCCACAGCAGCCTCTTCCCCATCCCTTCGGCTTCTTCATCGCCCACACAGGACTCGACGACAAGGACAAGCTCCTCTGGGACCGCTATGTGGACAACATTAGGGATGGCATGGCCGTCGGATGGGCGCTCGAGCCAGAGGAGAAGACCGACTTGTTACAGCCGTATCTTATCAAAATGAAGTTACCGCCCCAGTATGCGTCGATTGACAGGATGCGACGTAAGTTCGCGCGGGCACAGTTTTTCAACGACGATGGCGAGCAAGTCCAGGGGCCTCGCGACCCGACCATGCTCAAGTACCTGCTCTACGTCGACGACGAGTGCCTGGAGTCGTTTCAGAAATACGAGACGGCGATGGCTGCGGAGGGCGAGGGTGAGGTGCCTGTTGCGTTTGTCAAGGCCATCAAGTGTTTCGAAGACGACGACGTCAACGGCGGAGTCATTAACGCTGAGGAGATGGAGGATGGCGAGATTCGAGAGGACAAGGGGTGGATGCCGGTGGACTGCAAACACGTGCTGATGTTTTGGGATCGTGTGTCCAAAGGGCAGTGGGACAAGGAGTATGCACGCTTTGCGAGACCAAAAAGGGCTCCCTGGTGGGACCGCCCTGCCTGGTTCTATTGATAGGGGATTGGTCATTGTGACAGGACAACTCTGGAAAAGCTGGACATCAGCAGCACGTCCACATAGGCCATCCTCAACTTGTTGTCATCGATATTGCTGAACTTTAACGAATGGACTCAATGTTACGGCACAGCGAGTTCACTGAATACCTAACATATATACGGCATTTTGGCAAGGGTCATCTCAGACGGAGAACGCTGAGGATGAAGGTTTCAACGTTGATAGAAGAACTTCATCCTGCTTAGTCTGGCTCATACAGTATCTCTTCAAACTATTCAATCAATGTGGGCCGCAACGATGCGCGTGGAGACCCAACGATACGTCTTGATCTGGGCCTCAAACGAGGCGGTATGTAGCGATTCGTCATGGACATCGTAGCTGAGGCCGTACGGCGGGCAGATGCAAAGCCCAAGACGTAGATAAAACATGAGTAAACCGTAAAATCGTACCTCTGTGAAAGCTTTTCTATTGGAGCACAACTCCGTATCCCAGAACCTGACGTACCCAAAACCTCACCGGCCATCGTCTACAACGCCACACGTCAACCCGCGTACACCAACCTGACCGGAACACCATCCTTCGGCGCCATCGTGAAATGGATATCCTTCCGCGGCTTGCCCACCGGCCCAACCCACTCCATGGCCTTGAACCGCTGCAACAACCTAACAATCAGGAACCCGGCCTCCGTAAGCGCGAATTGTTCTGTCATCAACACGTCAGTAAATCACCACACACACCATGAGAACTCTTCCAACTCACGTCCAAGACAAATCCTCGGCCCGCCGCTGAACGGCACATAATTCCAATCCAGCCTCGTCCCCTCCCATCGCTCCGGCCGGAACGCCAACGGCTCCGCCCACACGTCCGCCCGCCGGTGCAGCACGTACGGCGAGAAATTCACCGTCTGCCCCTTCCTCACCACCACCGGCTGGCTCCCGTCCGGCCCGCCCCCGCGGGGGAGCACCGTGTCCCGCGCCGCGATGCGCAAATTCAGCGGCACCGCATTATACACCCGCAGCGTCTCCCTCAGCACGAACTGCAGATACTGCGCGCCCTTCAAAGTCCCAAAATCGATCCCCGCCGCGTCCTCGCTGTACTCCCCAAACTCCTTCAGCACCTCCCCGCGCAGCTTCTCGAACACGGCCGGGTGCTGCGCCAGCAGCAGCAGCACCCACGACAGCAGCGTCGCCGTGGTATCCCGGCCCGCCAGCAGGATCCCCAATATCTGGTCCCTTAGCTCGTTCTCATCCCGCGTCGCCTCCGCCAGCGTGTCCAGCAGCGAGTACTTCTCCCTACTCGGCTTCGCCGCGGAAAGCGCGAGCTTGACGTAGTGGGCGACGTATCGCCGCATGTACCCCGCCGCGCGCTTCCCCGTGCCGCTCGGCGCGAGCCAGTACAGGCCCTGTAACCGCACGCGCATCGTGATCCACATCTGCGCCTCGTGGAACGCCTCCGCGAAGCTCATGTCCTCCTTCCCGCCGGTGCGTTGCAGGTCCGCCGCCATCGCCGCCGCGGCGCTCGTGCTCGCCACCCGCCCCGTTGCGGCCGCGGTCTGGCTGTCCACGCTCTCGCCGAAGAGGAACCCCGTCGCCGTGTCGAGCGTGAAGCGGAACAGCAGCGGCATGATGTCCACCGTCACAGACCCATCACCCGGCTTCCCCACCATCGGCAGCGCCGCGAACAGCGCCTTGACCGCGTCCTCCGTCTTGCCCAGGTCGTTGATATTCTCGCGCGAGAACTGCGGCCGGAACAGCGCGCGCGAGTGCTCCCAGAACGGGCCGTCCGCAGTAAAAATGCTGCGCCCCAGCAGCGGGCTGAACTGCGCGATGCGCCGCTCGCCCAGATCGAAGTCCTGGAACTTTGTCGCGAGGAGGGCCTGGATGTTGACCGGGTCGACGGTGTACACCTCGCGCGGGCCGAAGAAGCCCGGCTGCGTGAAGGTGGCGCCGTGGGCGGCGTAGGACTTTTCGACGACGTCGTCGAGGATGTCGCCGCCGCGGCGGGCGGTGGTGATGGTGCGCCAGACGTACTGGATGCCGAAGGGGAGGCGGGAGGGGATGTGTTTTGGGAAGGTTGCGTTGTGGGCTTTGGCGAAGCGGAGGAGGCGGCGGCGGGCGAGGTAGCGGGAGAGGGCGTAGTAGAGGAGGGTGAAGGGGATGGCGTAGACCAGGGCTGTGAGGGAGAGGAGCGCCATTGTAGGCGGCTGTTGGGTGCTGGTGTGTCCTTTGGTGCTGGTGTGTCCTTTGGTGCTGGTGTGTCCTTTGGTACTGGGAATTTCTCAGATATCGAGGTGCGTGGCTTGGGGGATTTTATCCTGCGATGAGGCCTTCACGATGTGGGTAAGTTCGAGGACGATCGTCAAGGGGTTGGCCCCGTCGCCCCGGTTTGATGCGACGGTTACGCGATTTAGGACCTTTTCAAGTCCATATTCCAGCCATAGGATAGCATGTATTTTGTCAGCAGGGTGATGAGTAAACAAAATTGCAGAGAGTTGTCCGTCGTCGTCGTCTTTACGCTGCCCTCGCATTCGTTATCGGCATTAGGGCGTCGCACCTAGGGCGGTGCCAAGGACTTTACAGGAAGCAACGCTAGAGCATGATTGCTTAGAGTTGGAATACAATTTTTAACGGGGACCTCCTCCCTCTCTACCGCCCGCCGGTACGAGTTGCTGCCCACGGGAAGGGAGGGAGATCATGGTTCGGCCGAGGCAACCTAACAGCGCCGTGTTTTCGGCAGTGCCATTCAATAGGAAGGAAAGGGAGGGGCACGGACAACGTGGGGATGGAGGGTTTACATGACTGCCGTACGTGCGGCGGCAGTTGAGTTTGCGAGAACGAGTCGGTGGGCTAGGGCAAAAGTGGTTTCCCCTGACTCGGGGTTTGCGTTCGTCTCAACAACAAGACGGAGAGGACGGACTTGGTTGTCCGGTGATGTGCGTTCAAGATATCAACGCCGTTGAAACTCCATCACGGCTTGGCGTTCAAGAGATTATCCATTCTCATGGCTCTCTCTACCTGTTGAGAATACAGTCCCTTGTCCCGATGTCCCTCACAATGCTCCGATTTCGAGGAAGAGTCTTTGACAGTTGCAAATGTTACACAGAGCCACAGAAAACCCACAAAACTGGAGCTGGAAGTGGACATCGCGGGTTTCGTCGACGGCGCCGGCGCTGGATGAGCCCGCCCACGTTAAGGGTCTTCAACGTATTCTGGAAGGGTGGCCGAGTTGGTTATGGCGCCAGGTTAAGGTCAGCTTAACATCTGTTTCCTGGTGGGGCAACCCGCGCGAGTTCGAGTCTCGTCCCTTTCATTGATTTGTTTTTTGCCTTTCTTGATAAATGCGACAACAAACACCTTTTTGCGCTCCAATGACGGTGAAAAGTCGATGATGCAAATTGAAAGTGGTTGAGTTGCGACTCTTCACCATGACCAGCCAAACCTGAGCTTTGGCAAAACATGCAAACTTTTCCTCGTGACCGCTAATGCATTCGTTGCATTTCATCATCATAAAGACCCGACTCCAGAGACATGTTTCTCACCTCCCAAGGTTGTTCACAACGCTGCCAACCATGACAGCAACCTCCCTCTCCCAATTGCCCTCGCCCCTCCCCTTCCCCTTCAGCGCGCTCGGCATCTCGCACCCCCTGACAACGCACTCCCTCACAGCCTCCCCGACGCTCGCCCGGTTCGTCCTCAGCGTCCTCGCCGACACGCCTCCCCGGTTCACAATCTCCTGCACCCGCGTGCCCAGGTTGCCAGCCATCGTCCTCCAAAAGTAGCTCGCCAGGCTGCCCGTCTCGAGGTATGCCAGCAGCGGCTGCAGCATATTCGTCTGCTTCTGCGGCGTCGCGACCAGCGGATGCGTCGGCAGCTTCGTCGACTCCAGCACGACCTCCAGAGCGACAATGTTCTGGCACCGCGCCGAGATCTCCGCCAGCGTCCGGTCCAGCGACGGCAGCTGGCCCAGCGCCCGCGACAGCGACGCGATGGACGACTGCAGCGCCGAGCGGAAGTAAACCTCCAGCGCCTGCAGCAGCAGCGTCGGCGTCCACCGCTCGCCCTTCATCGCGGGCTGCGGTGACAGCAGGAACAGCGTGACCATGGCTGACACGGTGCGCGCCTTGGTCTCCTCGCCCTGCGCGAAGGTGGCCGAGTTGGGGATCGTAAAGTCGCGGATGATCTTTTCAGCCGTCTCCCTGACGGACCGCTCTATCGGCGCGATGACGCCCTCCCGCAGGGTGCGGATCGCGTCCACCTTGCCCAGCCCGTAGCCCTCCTCCCCGGGTGCAGAACGATCCAGCACCTCCCTCAAAGAGAGGAGGGTATGCGAGCAGCGCACCAGCGCCCTGTGGTCCTCCTTCTTCCCGGCCGCAGCAGCCGCAGCGCTTACACTACCGCCCGCAATCTCGGCGTGCTGGACCTCGAGCTGCCTGCCGAGCTGGAGACAGCGTCCGACGGAGCGGCCGAGCTTCAGGGTCTCCCAGAGGCGGGTAGCGACCTGGCGCACCTCCTCGGCCTCGGCATGCTTGTCAATGACCTCCTTCTCGAGCTGGCGGTAGCTGTCGTTCAGGCTCTTGATCTGGGCGTCGAGCTCGCCGATGATGCGCTTGCTGGCGGCGTTCTGCTCGTCGGTGTACTGCAGCAGCGGGGCGGCGGACTTTGTGGTCAGCACGTCGATGTGGGAGTCGATCTCCTGGGTGTCGAAGAGGACGCGGGAGAGCGGGGTGGAGAGGTCGAGGGGCGCATCGTTGGGGTTGTTGGTCGCGAGGACGAGCGTGTTTGCGAAGGAGGCGGGGTTGAAGTCGGGGGAGAGGAAGGTCTCGTAGTCGATGTAGGAGGGTTCCTGTTCGTCTTGGATGGTCATGATGGGCGGATTGGGGCCATTGGCCATGTGTTGTAGGCGCAATGGGTGGTGTTTCGTCGAGGGAGGTGGTGGTGTTGCGTGGGTGTGAGCTTGAGCTGGTGGAAGCTCTGAAGGGAAACCAAGCTCCAAAGTGTCCTGTCTCTCTCTGCTTGATGCAATGAGTACGTACCGGCAAGCTTCGCTGACATAAGAGGTCGTGGCTGGCGAGATGTGGCTAGTGAATTGTTCCAATTGTGGCTCGCGTGCCAGCCACCCACCAGCCCAGCGCACGGTCTCCGCAGCGCCCATGACGCCAAGCGGCACTAAAACCAACAAAAAAACAGTCAGCAAATGAGGGACGAGATCAAACTGCGCGATATTCCCGGGGTCCCGTCCCAGCCCGCCAACCCGCCTCATTGTTTGTCACTCTTCTCTCCTCCCCCCCGGTCTTTGTTTCTCTGTGTTTTCCTCCCGGACCTTCGGCATCTCCACAATTTGACGCAAAAGAAAAAAGGCAAGCTGCCCATCCGCCCATTCCGCATGGGGCCGTCACCCGCGTCCACTCCCACTCGACCTTGTTGATCATCAGCGCATTCCTTCCTCCGGACTGGACGACGGACTCGAAAGCTGCGAATGGGATTGGCACCGGCGAATTCTCGCTGAATACGCACTCGCGCGATTAGTCGAGGGAAAAAAAGAAAAAACATTGGATACGCCGCTAAAGAGTTGCGCTACTACGCCGTCTTTCCGAAGCTTCCATATACCTTGTCATCCATCCTCTTTAGCACCTATCAATCATAATTCCACCACCACCACCACTTCGTCATCTAACATCTCTCGACCTCCGACCTTCCTCTCTCTCCTCGCCGTCGTCGTCGTCGTCCGCTTCAATCGCTCCCAATCCGCCAGCAATGTCATAACCTCTAAACCATCTCCCCTGCGCCCGACGGCCCTTCAATTCCCCCCTCACGGATCACCTTCGCGCACCGCCGCCCGAAACGAACGCCTCATCCGAACCCTCCGAAGACCCCGAAACGACGACAACCTCCTCCGAGCCGTCCAAAATGCATCTCCTCCCGCTCTCCCTCCGCGACCTCCTCCCCCTCCCCGACGGCGCAAACGCCTCCGACACAGTCCTCGGCGGCGTCCACTTCAACCGCACTCTCCTCGACTTCTGGAACTACACCCTCTACTCCAACAACACGCTCTCCAACGGCTCAAACTGCTTCCTCACCCAGCAGCCCTACACCCCCGTCGCCCTCCTCCCCAACGGCTCCTTCGTCAACTCCACATGGTGCTACGACCCCATCCGCTCCATCGGGCCCCGCGCAAAGGCCGGCGTCGCCATCGGCGTCGTCTACGCCGTCGCCCTCATGCTCATCCTCGCCTGCCTCAAGAAGCACGGCCGCCAGTATCTGCCCACCACGAAGCGCTTCTACCCCGTCGGCAAGCGCTGGCAGTGGTACTACGCCATCCTCGTCTGCGTCGCCGCCTTCATCAGCCTGTTCATGACCATCGACGTCGACCGCTTCTGGGTCGTCGGCCTGCCCATCATCATCAATAGCTTCTTCTGGTACCTCCTGCAGCAGTTCACCATGGCGCTCGTGTGGGAGGCCGTCCGACACTGGGGCAGCTGGAGCGAGCGGCAGTACATCGACCCTGACCCCTTCATCCTCCGCGAGGGCGACAAGCGAGACAAGTTTGAGTTCTGGCTGCCGTTGTGGTACTACCTCTGGCTATGGCTGGCAAGTTCCTCCTCCTCCTCCTTCCAAGCTTCCCTAAACTAACAACCCCCAGAACTTCTTCCTCATCATCCCCCGCAACTGGGGCGAAATCGAAAAGCAGCGCTCGCCAGACCAAACCGCCGCCCGCGCCGAGCCAAACGCAACAGACGTCCGCTTCAAAGTCGCAACCTTCTGCCTCGTAATCTGCTGGCTCACCATCGTCGCCTCCCTCCGCCACTCCATCCTGCACTACTACCCCCGCAACCGCGGCGTCCTCAACAAAGCCCGCGGCTTCATCCGCTACACCCCGCTGCGCTTCAAGCTCGTCATCCCCCTCGCCGCCTGCCTCATCGCCTACCAGGGCCTCGTCTCCTTCCGCTGGGACTACTCCGTGCTCAACACCCAGGCGAACCTCGCCGCCGTCTACGCCGGCGGCTACGGCCCCGCCCTGCTCATCCTCTGCATCCAGATCGCCTACGGCTTCATGTCGCCCAACGAGGACAAGGAGCTCATGCGCCAGCGCCGCGTGCGCGAGGCCGAGATCGACCACGACCTCGGCATCGTCGCCAAGCCCGCCTGGTGGAAGCGCGTCACCCGCGACGACCACCTCGTCGGCAAGATGTCCATGCGCGACCGCATCGCCCGCAACGTCCGCGAAGTAGGCGGCGTCCGCGCCCCCGCCACCCAGCAGCAGCAGCAGCAGCAGCAACAAGCCTACAACGACGCGCCGCCGGAGCAGCAGCAGCAGCGCGAGATCGAGATGGGCAACATGGGCGGCAGCAGCTCCAACGCCTCGACGCCCGTACGGCCGGGCTTCGACGCCGCAAAGGGCTCCACCTTCTCCTCGTACGCCGGCAAGTCCGACCGGCGCCGCCAGGAGCGGACGATGAACGCGGCCGCGGAGCTGCTCTTCCCCAACTCCGGGGCGGGCCGGCCGGACCGCGCATCGGAGCTGATGCAAGACGGCCCGCCGCCCTCGTACACCGACGCCCAGACCCGCGGCAGGTCGGACAACGCCTCGCTCAACTCCCTCAACCCCGGGGAGCGGAGTAACAGCACCAGCACGGCCGTCTCTGTCTCGGGGCAGCCGCAGCAGGTGAAGAGTATGCTTGATGTATAAAAAGTGAGGTGACCAGCCCGCCGAATGAGCGGGCGTGTGTAAGAGATGGAAATGGTCCAAACGTTTAAAGCTCATGAGCAATGACGACAGATATAGTGTATGGAACGGCGTTCGGGGCACTGTAGCCGGGCTTTGAATCCGGAGTAGGCAGACTGTATTGTATGCATAATGGTATTACTAAACCTCTATTGATCACATATCGCCACATGAGACTTGTTGATTGCCCGAAAGCCGTAGAAACAACCCAAATATTATAGCACGAATAGTCAACGTTGACGGCGAATCTCAGTGACGAGCCATCAGCGAGGCTACCACAAGATGCCTAGCCATTGCTGCCGCTGTACAAACACGGTCGACTCCGTCACCTGTACCGTGCAGCTGGAGGACCACGACGGAGGTACCTCAGCAGCCTCCTGCCGTGCTCCAACTCCGCGGCCCGGCCGTCTGCGTATCGGGACGTGACAGCTCATGTGCCTAAGAAGCTCGCAAGCACGTACGTACTTCCACAGACGAGAAGAAATGAGTCTTTGCTAGCCGGGCAGTTTCAGTTGGCTATCCGTGCAGTGTTGTACTCTTTCCCGTGTATTTGATTTCGTCGTCGCTACTTTTATTGCTTTCGCCGTCGTTTATCGTTATCGTCATACTCATCACTACCCCTATTGGTTCTCTCTACTGCTATTGTCCTCATAGACGTATTACGTATATTGATTAAAGTTGTAGGGAACGATGCCTGGCGAGCTGACTGTCGCTCACTGCCTGGCTGGCAAAAAGTCAAAGAAATAGTCTCGACGGAGAGACCACCCGGCGCCAGAAAAACAGGTCGTCCGTCGTCTGCGGCCTCTGCCGAGTACATGCCGTGGACGCTCGGGGCATCCACCGGTTGCAATAACCTGCCGCCCGACTCAGCATCCCGGCTCGGGTTGGATGTCCAATCCGCTCGTCAGCTCCTGGGCCGAAGAGTCTGATGCGTCCAGACGAGGCCCATTCGTCACGGCGTCGTATTGTTCCGAACGGGCAAGCCGTCGTCTGCCATGGACGATTCCCATGTGCAGAGGCACCTCGCCTCACATGGGAAAATGGATCAGCAAGACTGCAACGTCGTGAGCTCCGTCGTCCGCCCGTCACGGCACTTGGCTTTCCCTCTTCCTCTCCTGCACTGTCGCCGCAACATGTGAATACCCGCAAGCCCAAGCACCATCACGCAAAGTTGCGAGCCAATGACTCGCCTGCGGCCATCTCATCGCACGCGCAAATGCCACCAGCAGAGTCAAAGCAGCGGGACGTGTCGTTCATCCAATGGCAGCGGGCAGATAACCCAGGAACAGATCTTAGTCCATGCGGAGAAAAAGCAACGCTGGCGTGAGACTTGGGCGAGGTACGTCCATGGCGACCGGCAGGGCGGCGGGAGAGGCAGGCCACAGGTGCGGTAAAAAAGCTAGGCACGGCGTTGGAACGGTCCAGGTGACTGAGAGCCTTTGAAATGGCTGACAAAAATGCCCGTCTCTAAAGATGCAGGCCAGTGGCTTCGGTCCCGATCTAGACATCCTCTATTTCGGCCGGCCCATTCAGCCACCGGGGAGGTGTCTTCGCCTGGGTTATCGACAGGTCGGCCATCCGGTGTGTCAGCCCGACAGCTGAGAAAATGCCCGTCTCCCACTGGCAGACGAGTGCGTTGCTGGCATCTGCGTTGGAACAAAACATTGGCGTCGAGCGCAGCCACGGCCGCCTCTATGCGTTGTCTGCATGGCACGACAGGGAGTCGCCCAGGAGAAGAGCCTCTCGCCGAATAAGATGGCCTGATGGGGGACTTGTACAAACGGCATTCCGACCAACAAGGCCTGTTTGCGTGCGGCTCCCGCTGCAGCGAAGAGGCCATGGAGCGATCAGATAGTTCACGTTAGTCCCTCGGATGCGAGCCCACGCACATCTATGCTGTGCGCTGCGACGGAGAAAGCTCGCAGCTACTGCGTGCCATGCATGGCGCTATTCATGCGTCTTGATGCGCTCTTGCTCCCACGTCCCTGTCCCTCCGCCCCGACGAACGATACGGAGAGGATACGGTGCGTAGCGCAGACTGTTCGGCCGTAGGTGGTTCGAAAAATGTTGCGATTCAGGTCCCAGGGGATCCGTGTTGCGAGCGGGAATCATAGTTCGCTGGAAGGCTGCGCGGGTGAGGTTGGATGACACCGAGGTAAAGCCCGTCAAAAGAGCGGTGAAGAACGCCGATGACAGAGACAGGTGTTTAGGACGGGGCGTAGGGCGAGGCCCGCCGGCTTGGAGAACAAAAGCCTCAGGGATATGCCTAGCTGAGGACTGGAACCAAGTCAAAGAGCTCAGATCGTAGTTGCTCGCAAGATGGTCGGATGGCCTTGACATCTAGGACGTTAATGACCGCTGTCGTTATCGTTCCCTTGGGTGGCTTGTCACTCTGCCTGCAGATGGCTTCTCATGGTGCGGAAATCTCAACGCTAGCGAGCTCGGTGCCTTGACCAAGCGTGAACGGTAAAAAATTGATAGCGTTCTAAGAGTAGCTTCGCTCATCGTCAGTTGAGCCATCAACTCGGGCTGTCTGTCTGCTGTCCCAACTGACGCTAAGATTTTGAGGTGTCGTTAAAGCGGCGAGGAATGAGGGGCAAAGATTGTTCAACACCAACACTTATTCCCTCACCTTGCAGTTGGCACCGCTCAAGTTCGTTGTCTGCTGAGTCGGGAGCAACATTTGACAAAGTTTGTCAGCGATCAAATGAGAGAGGGTACAGACATACGCTCCAACGCCAAGAACAGAGCAGATCTTGGGGTGCCCTCGTTCCATGCGCAATGTGCAACGAAGCGAAGGCGATGGGCACTAGGTATTGCTGGACCATGGGCCCTTGTCCTCAGTTGCAATCATCCAGTCTTGAAGGGTGTGGAGTTGCTGTCTGCACCGTGCCTTGCATCGTGCAGCTTCACTTTTGGGAAGCCGCGGAAGATCTGGAGGTTGGCTGCCAGGTACAGAGACGGTGCTGTCACGATGGCCGTTGATGGAGCTTCACACAGCCAGCGGTCAACAGGGACCACCCCAGATAAGATCTAGGGCCAACTTCACGCTGTCGCCCCCGCCATGTAGCATCATCTGGCGCAACACTACCACCAGCAAAGTTGGCAGTTTGCGGATCGTTTCGCTTCACTCCATCAATGGTATGAGACCGCCCATTTTTGCTAGAGCGACTGCTTTTCCTGTGTGCTCTCTATCGTCGTTGCTGTTGTAGTCGCTACTGTTATTATTACTGTCATTGTCGTCTATCGTCTGCGTCCTTCGTCTTCGCCCCCGTTATCATCGTCAATCGCCGTCGTCATCAAAGTCACTAAGTACACAGGAAAAGTGGTCGCATTAGCACAGGAAAAATAGCCGGTCTCAATGGTATTTGTGGTTGCTGTATTAGCATCTACTGGTGGAAGCGAATTGAGCGGTACGGTGCCGAGGTGGATATGTGCCTGCTCACACGTATGTTCAAACGGGTTTCGATTTAATCTGTCGTTGGCTCAAGGCCGTGAATTTGTCTCTAAGCTTAACTGGCCAGCCGGCGCTTATGCGATTGGGGATACCCCAGAGGCTGTGTCATTCTCGATCATGTCTCAGTCTTGTAGCGGTGAGATCAGGGCGCCGTCACTTGAACCACTTCAAGTCAGATCTCGGGACCCTCATGAGCAACAAAAACGAGCGTGGCTGGCCGTGTCTCAGGCCCGAGAAAGGTACCCGTGAGCCACGACCTGCCGCGTTCAGAACAGGGCTAAGGAACCCATCCAAGGGAGCAACATCGAATGACTCAGAAGGTATTCGATCGCATATCAAGTGGTATTGTGTGCGTTGATGAATGTATGCCGTTCCGTAGTCGTGTCGGCCTTTTTCAAGGCCGCTGGCATTCACATCGTCAGTGACTTGGCGGGGAGTCGTGAAATGTCCAATCTGCAGAACGACCGAGTCAAGGTCTACCGCTAACCTTCATCCCGAACTGCATTCACAGGGTCGCAGTCAAGACGGATATGCAGATTATCCCAAGAAAATCGACCAGGGCCCATGCAGCTGTATGCGGGTGCCGCCAACCGCGCCGCTTCAGTCCAAGTAACCTGCATACTGCTGCAGCCTCCCACGCGCGTCCCCCAAAACGGCATCCCGTTTGTTGGCAACAATGGCTTCTTGTGCCCTCGCCTCAATCCCACAGGTGGTTGCACTCAATCTGAAACGGGCCAAGCTGCGCGTCCTGTGGGCGATTCTAGATCAAGCTCCCTGGTCTGCTGTGCATCTTCCGTTCGCAGCATGACAAGACGAGCTCTCCGTGTATGGTTTGGGCAAAGTCTGGCGAAGGGCGGGTATGCGATGAAAAACTCTTTGAATGACGATGGAAATCGGAAGACAGTACGAGGACCCCGAACGTCCGCTGGGGAAGACCTTGTTTGATGCTGAAGGCCATGAACGTGTCGTTGCGAAGAAGGCACCAAAACGCTGTCATTCGTAGTGGGATGGAAGGATCTGGCCCTAGGTCTTGATCAGCGGTCTGATGAGTTTGCGCCCTCTTCTTCTTCGCTGACGGACAGCAGTAGCATGCCGCTAAGCCGTCGAAGTGCCAGCATCTTCCCAGCATCTGATGGGACACGCGAAGCCAGGGACGGGGATTCCGATGCATCGTTTCACCCGTGCAGAGTTTAAATTCTCCATTTTCCGATGAGCGAAGTAGTCCCCTTTCCACGGCGTAAGATGCCACGCGTCGATCAATCAGATTTTGTGTCCGTGTCGGGCCAGCTCGCCATTATCGCAGTGCAGCCTCGTTGCGCCAAGAACATGAAGTTCGCCCTGCAGCAGGAAACCAACCCATTGTGAATAGACGGCGCCGTATGATATGACAGCTCATCGAAAGTTGAAGAGCGGTTAATGTCGGCGACGTGTAGTCCAGCCGTTGTAAAGTGGCCCCATCCGCAGCTGAACCGTCTACCTACCATGGGCTTTCGCAATGTCATTCAAA